AGAAACAAATTAGTAGATTAGGTGACCAAAAGAGGGTTTTAAATAGATATAAATGGGATCGACAGTTTAATAAAAAACTACAATAAATGAAGTGTTTAAAAGCGTAGATGAATTCATCATTCCTGTGATAAATGCCTACAAAACTAATAAAGAAGGCTTTGCGGTTGCTTGAACTAAATGTCTTCGATTACATATAAGAACTAATATAGATAAAATAGATTTCTGGGATCTTAAAAATAAACCTGCAGTTTGTGTGCTAATTTGAGTACTAACGGGACATTATGTTATTATATTGATACAAAAACAGTTGTATTTTCTGTCAAACATACTCTCTGAGAGTTGTTATCATAAGAAGAAATCGTCTTAGCATTTTCTATGCCATCATGCAGGACTACAGAAAAAGAGCTTTTAATATCTGTAAGATAAGTTATTCAGTAGGCTGGCAGAGATAGTTAAGTTGAATTTATTGTTTCCGCTTATCTGCATATGAAAGATAGACTAGTTTAACTAGAAGAGCACACGGAGTTATAATGGAAAGAAAAGTTAGTATAGCTACCCTCTGATGACATGTTTAAGTGTATTATAAGCAACAATTGATGTGTCCGAGTAGAAGTCTTAAAAATATCAATATTGTATAGATATATTGATTTATATAAAAGATATACATACTATAAAGTACATTTTGTGTTAATTATAGTGGCTTTCAGCATATTTAATAAAAACTTTGCTTTTAAAAGAAGGCGAAAAAATAAAATAAAAATATATTGATATCATGCTACTTCATTTGCTTGGGGTTATATAATTTCACTTCTCTTAAAAGTTTAACTAAATCTTAGGAAAGCACTTTAATTATCTACATATCTTTGAATTTTAATATTTAGTACTATACTCAAAATACCCACGTAATTAAACTTTAAATATAAAAATATTATAAAAATTATTATCAGATACAGCTATGAAAACTTGAAGCTGTTGCTCCTGTTGTCGTTAGTGAAACATGTTTTCCAACTGACCCAGATGTTCACAGTAAAAAGACCTTTTACCATGTAGTTACACGAATAAGAAAAAAAATCGTTTTAATAGTATTTAAAAGTATTTCAAAGCATTAAAATCAGTTAATAAAAAAATGCATTAATTATGTGGTTTCTTGAAAAATACTTCAATTTGCAATAAATACTACGAGCAAAAAACGATTAGCAAATTCCCCCAAATGCCACGATGCATCTTCATCTTCTTGCCAGTTGCTAGCAAACGTTCTTTTAAGGTGAGCAACTATGCAAAAACGTGGCAGCAACATTTTTTATTTTGGTTTTTGTTTTTGGTATGAATTTTTTTTAAACTATTTTCTTGTTAAATCTCAAATTTTATTAATCTTATTGGAAACCGCTTTTATGGCATTAATAGAAATAACAACATTTGCTGCAATTGCTGCTAACGAAGAGCAACAGCAGCATTTGTCCGCACCACACTGGCTTAGAGTTTCTCGCTTTCTGGTTATTTTTTAGATATTTTATTTGAGTTTTCTCAGTGCATCAGTGCAACAGTGCAACTGGAATGCAGCAATAGCACTTCAAATTTATTTGGTTTTTTTTTTGTGATTTGTTTTTTTTTTCTCTATTTTAAATTGTACTATAAAATTTTTTTGCTAACGTTAGGTCTGGAAAATTATGTGGGTCAGTCAGACACCACTTGTTGTTGGCATAAGTTGCAGTTAGCAACTTGTAAACTGTGACTTCTATACGGCCGTAAATACTCATAGATAAATTGCACCGATAGTGCTTGTTGCATAAACGACTTCGGTATTAAAAAAAACACATTTACCTAGATTCAAATATGGATGGATGTGCGATTGCTGACAGTAGAAATTTGTCAGAATTTGCAGTGAGAAAGTTTTTCAGAAAAATTTTTTAATTGTCGTAAAAAACAGTTGAGATAAATGGAAACCCGTATGGTTTCATCACATTGATATCTCTTTTCATTTATTTTTATGCTATATATATTAAATAAAATATATATCTATTATTTAATAGATATTTCATGAATTTTTTTTTTTTTAATAAGATAGCATTTTATGAAGTCTTGTTTAAATTAAAATTGTCTACTACAATTGTCTACTTGGTACTTGCAGTCTCAAAAAAATTATTTACGAATAATTAAATATAAGGAATAATTTCCAAGACCACTGATGATGGGTATTTGGCTGTAAAACAGCTATATAGTCAATCAAATATACAATTAATTGAAGTAATATAAAAAGACTTTTTGTTGTTATAGTTGACTACTATACTTAACCTCTCAACTGTAGTAGAAAATTTCTTTAAAAGAAATTCATAGTGCAAATTAAAATTTAAAAAAAAACCTTCAGTGTTTATAAACAAGATAGTGAATAAAAGTGCAAAAATAAAAATAAACATACTTATACACGATAGTAGCTTCGCCAAATGTTCTAGGTAGTTTTAAACCCTGAGTTCTCTTATTTATACAGTAACACAATAGGCCAACGATCCTAAGTGGATCCCCTAGGGTTCGACTATATAACCTTACCTAACCTATACACGATAGTGGTTAAAAAGTTGTGCCCCCAATATAAAAAAAAAACGTTCCTAAATTTTTTACTGTTGCTTATTTTTTATTTTTCTAAAGGATTTATAAAGTTTTGTCTACAATGCTCAAACTTCTTCAACTCCTTGTAATACTGTAATTTGTGCTGATCGTCAAAATATCCATTTTAAATACGGATGTCAACTCTTCATTTAATAACAATTTTTACTATTCCAAAAAAACTTTCTACTTCAGAAATACAAAAAGTTGCCGGTACTAAATCTGTTAAAAAAGGGAATGACAATCAATTTGTAAAGAAATTGGTGAATATTAATCATAGAATATTGTGTCGAGGTCTTCGAAATATTTTATGATTAATATACACCAATTTCTTTGCAAATTGATTGTCCATCCTTTTTTTTAACAGATTTAGTCCCGGCAACTTTTTTTATTTCTGAAGTAGAAAGTTTTTTTGGAAGTAGAAAGGTGAATACTAATTATAGAATATTGTGTCAAGGTTTTCGAAATATTTGTTTTAACAACAAATATGATCGCTTTCTTTAATAAAAGTTTTTTCAAAAACAAAAATAGTCACTATTTACTTCAACCTTTAACCCACATCCTGATCTAGCTCTTCTGAATGTCTCTTCTGATGAACAAAGAGTTTCAGACTCAAAGTTTAATTAACAATTTTGGTCATGTTACCTGTTAAAGTGTAAAATGATGTGTTGTCTTGGAAACAAAAAACATTTTCGTAAAAATGGGAACATGTTTCGTTCTAATATTTTGATCCAATATTGTTGCATTGTAAGGTTCAGTTGTTTTCACTACTTTCTATCATGTAGTTAATAAGCAAAATTTTCTTGCTGTACTGAAATAGAGTAGTTAAGATCATTCTAGATGAAAGCAATGTTTTAGCTTATAACTTCTTTACAGTTCTTTAGATTTTCAGTGTACTGTTTTATTGTTCTTTGATCTTCTTACAAAAATCTTTGTTATGACTATTCTTCATTCTGCAACCATCATAATTGTAACAGCTGGTCTCTAAATTATGCATTTAAGTTTGTGTAATGTGGGAGATTCTGTCAGAACAGACCATAACCATAGGGGGGTACACTGCAACTGGTTTCGGATTTGATGAACTTATTGGGAGCATTATTTAATTATCTATTGATTTATTTTATTTAGAATTTGTCTATTAAATACTAAATACAAATGTAAAAAAAGATATATACTATAAGATATATATTTGTTGATGTTATTTAATTCACTTCAAAATTCTTTAAGGAAGTACTACTTAACGACTTTTTAAATTATTTAACATATATTGTGTAAAAATTAACATTTTTACTTGATTGTCATTATTGACCTTTATTCTCGACATGACTTAACAATTATAATCTCTATAAAAAGCTTTTATTTTAAAGGGCAATCTATTTGATTTAAATTAATTCTAAGTACATAGAAATATTTCAGTTTCAAAGTTCAATATTAAAATTACAATTAATTAAAATAAACTGTGATAAAATTATAAATAAAAAAATATTTGCAATTTAAAATAATTGTCTAAGATAATATGTAATACACATAGTAAGAGTATTTATGATATAAAAAACTTATATTATGTGACGTGAAATAAAAAAATTAATTAATCCAATAAAAAGTGATATAATTACTTATAAGGCTTATATAATATTATTTTAATATAAACATTAACTATGGTTTATTAATAACTCTTTTTATAAGTATTTTTTAGATTCGAATAACCTGATAAAAAAAAATTAATTCATATATTGAAATATAAACATTTTATCATGTGCATATTATAAAGTATTTTTTAATTTTACAATATAA